TGAGTTATTACAATTTTAAATAACTGTTTTCTATGCAAATATATTGAAAAATGTAATTACTCCAGTCTTCAGTGTCGCCTGATCCTTCAGAAATCATTCTAATATGCTGATTTGCTTCTCAAACATTTGATTATCAATGTTGCAAACAGTGAATGCTGCTTCATAGAATCCTTTAAAAAAGCAACACAGTTTCCACAAAAATATGATGAATAAAGTTCAAAAGAACAGCATGTACTTGAAATAGAAATCCATTGTAACTTTGTCTTGACTGTCACTCTTGAACAATTTAATGTGTCCTTGATGAACGAATCATTTTTATGTTTTCAAGTCATGTTTTTAAACCAAGATTGCAAATACGGGGGGTTTAAAAGCAGTAATGTGGAGTATTTTGTCAGAGCACTCACATCAGTTGTTTAATATAAACCTTCACTGGAGTTGTACAGTTAGACTACTGTTTAAGGTGGATGAACAATGCTTTGCTCATTTGTTTTTTTTTTTGTTTTTTTTTTATTATTAATATATATATTTTGTTGTTGCGGTTTCTTTTATAACTGCGGGAGGAGTCTGGTGTTTCTGTGGAAATCAGCAGTGTCACATTCCTTTAATATTTCTAATGTTTTGTGTGTCTCTGCAGGTGTTGATCGCAGTAGGTCGTGACGCTTGTACAGGAAAGATCGGTCTGGACCAGGCTGGAGTTGAAGTCAATGCCAAGTATGTCTCTTTCATTTGAATAGTTTATTTTGGTCATCTGTCCTCACAGTCCCTCCCACATCCCATAACAAAGTGCTTGTTGTCATGGTAGCTCTTGAGAGGGCGGGTTCTGGAGTGTCACGGTGAATCAGCAGTATTGACTTTGGGAACTGGGCAGCGTGTCCAGTGTCTGACCTTAGGACTCATAGACTGTGTTAATAGAGCACACTGGGTCAAGAAGGATTCAGCTAAATGTTTCCATTCAGTAGTGTGGGATGATTAATATTAATTCACACACACACACAGTGTGTGTGTTTGAGACAGAGGTTTAGATCCGTTCCCAAGCAGAATCATGTGATTCCATATGACCCACACGCATGTGATGCATGACTCTTTTATGGTTCCTCTGTATATATGCGACTCCCCGAGTATTTACAGAGTTATGATTTGAAATGCTGAGTTGCTCATTTCAGTTTAGTAATGCACACAATTTGTGTGTACATTGACAAGTCATTGTGCACTAGTTACA